GCTCAAGGTAAAATATAACACTAATGATATATGTCAGCTTTTAATTAATCTTTTCTAAAATTCTTTTCTGGCAAGCTTAAAATATTATGGTGATGAGGTTTAAAATCAATGATCACTGAACCAACTATCAAACAGTATAAGATACACACATATAAAACCACTAGTATTATGTTATCATTGAATGCTCAAGGTAAAATATAACACTAATGATATATGTCAGCTTTTAATTAATCTTTTCTAAAATTCTTTTCTGGCAAGCTTAAAATATTATGGTGATGAGGTTTAAAATCAATGATCTCTGTTGTACCTCTGTGCTTCAAGAAACAGTGCTGTTGCATACACAAGCACAAACATGGTGAAAGGTTAAAGTCAGGCTCCGGAGGGAAAAAAATGTTTTGATATGTTGTACAACTGATTTTTCTAAGACAGAAAAAAAGTAGTTTGAGCAAAAACTGAGCAACGGTGAATGAGATACAGATTTTTGAATATTTAAAAACAGGGGGGGGGGGGGCGGAGGTGTAAAAATGGGCAGTTACGCCCCTTTTTCCAACAGTTTTTTAGTATTAAAAAATCTGTATCTCGTTCACCTTCCCGAGTTTTTCGTCAAAAAACTTTTTTCTGTCTTCAGTTCTACAACATATCAAATTTTTTTTTTCCTCCGGAGTCTGACTTTAAAACAATCTAGTTTAGGTGGGACGATCTTACTATTACAAATCCTGCAATCAAATGTCTTATTGTTTACCACTTAAAATTGTTATTAGTTTCAGCAAGTTTGAATCTATAATTTTTAATATATTTTATTATTATGACTTACTCTCCTTTGGGCTTCACATAGAGATCCTGAGTGTGGGCCACATAGAGTGGTACTGGGAACCGCTTCTCAGGCTCAATCACACCTATATTCCTCATGGCATTATTTTCACGAATGAACACTTCAATTGGGATGGAAAAATGATTAAACATCTGGAAAGAGAAAAGAAAAAGATAATATTACACACATAGGCATACCTTTTTGATAATGAAGATAATGATGAAGATGATGATGATTAAGCCAAAAAAAATTGTGTTGGATTTTTTTCCCTTTTTTTTTTTTTGTAATAGGCCTACCTGAAATAGGATAGGCTTCAAACTACAGTCCCTATTATGAAGACCCTGGCCTGGGCTCGTAGCTTGTGTAGGCACCACAATAGAACATGCTTATTTACATTACATGCGCGTTTAATTAACTACACATCAGTACAGTACGGATGATAACTATTGTAATTTGTATTGTCTTAGAAAGAACTTGTTTGTAATGCTATTTTGATAGACTTTCGTCAAGAAATAAACATTCCAGCATTCGAGAGAGAATACAGTCACTGACGTCCTTTTTGGCCGGTGCATGCAGACAGGTAAAATCGTGCAATGATTTCATAACTAGGCTAGGCTACGGCCTAGTAGTAGTAGGAGGCCTTGGCGGCCTCCTGTTTGGCCGTAGGCCTGCAGTACATCCAAATTTGTTCCTTGAGTCTTTAAAATAGGTCTAGAATATTCCTATTAAATGTTCAGCTTGTTGTGTTTATGAGGGTCCATTGATTCAATGAATTCCTTAATTGTTCATACTTAATATTAAATTTGAAGTAACTTTCTTCGGGTTCTAATTAAACATGTTTAACGAAAGTAATTTTCAATTACAATTTAATTTTTATCACGATGCGTGATGACTTCGCGGAGACGAAAAAATTAGGAATATTTTTGCACACGAACCTAAAAAAAATCAAGCCAAGCATCCACTAATTGAAAAATTAGGTGGGGAATAGGAAAATAACATTGGGAGTTGCAGTGATGACGTCACGATTGACTTATAATAAAGAATAGGCTATGCCTAGGCCTAGATCATCTGGTCGTGACTTGACAGCTCAGCGCAAAAGATCTGATGTCGGTCGGTCGCTGAGGGCAACACAACATATATTTTTTTTTGGCCTAAATGATGATCATAATGATAATATTTAGGATAAGAAATTAAAATATCCAATTTCTACTGAATATCTTAACTGTAATTGGCAAGAATTAAGAACATTGACAGTTTTTTATATATTTTTTTAAACAATTTCTTCCCAAATTGCACAAGATTTTGTGTAACGGTTAATTTTGATGATCATGGGAATTTTCTCCCAACATACTGATTACTTGACCTTTCCGAAGTGTCAATCAACTTAAAAACTAACCAATTAAAATGGGCCAGTGATTCGCACATGTCCCACAACCACACAAGTTTAGGCTAATTTTTGATGGGACCTTAGCAACTACATATCCATGTAGCGGCGCTTCGTGGAAAATTCCATTCACTTCTTGACATATTCACGTGTTTAATATGCCTGCATTGCGTTCTCTGTAAACCAAGCAACCTTACTGGCAATCATTTGCCAAATACCTATCAAATATTTTACCTGAAGTGGGGAACGTATGACAATGAACCTGGAATCCATCTGCGCCTCAATCTCCAATGCGACTGACAACAGCATGTCTGCTTTATGCTTAGTTGTAGGCTTTAAGTTGTATAGAATATGTCCAACCCTTGACAGCACAACATTTCTGACTTCATCAAAACCTTCGACCTGAAATACAACAATTCATATTCAATGTGGTGGAATCTCAAAGAAGTATATAGTGAATAAACAAGTATGAAATTATTATCAGAAAATTTTTTTCAAACCTGAAAGTTGATGCTTTGCTCTGCAGATTCTGTTGAGCTTCTCATGAAAGATTGTAGCCTAAGTGGTGCCTTTCTACTCAACTCCCGCGACATGTCAAGGTCCACAACCTCTCCTGGTTGTAGCCGAATCCTTCCATCTTTTGCATAATCAGGAATCTAGTGCAGGCAACAATACAAAATTAGATGACACGAATACGAAGTAAAATAATAGTACTTTAGAAATAGTGATGGTAATGATTGTAACTGACAACAATACTAAAAGAGCATTCTGCTGACAAACTACCTCAAAGTATTTTCCAGGTGTGAGGTAGATGGACACGCCTATCGAGTTGGTGATAGTGCAAGCAGCCGCCTTCGTCTTTGGTTGTATTTCCGAGTGTCCTTTGCTTAGAGCTTCACTAAAAATCTATCAGGAAAAAAAACAGATAAAACATAGTATCATATAATAATGATAAATATAATGTTTAGAATTTGCAAAGAGTATAAAAAGCAAAGAGATCACAGTTCAGTTTAGAAATACATCATTCCTGTAATTATGCCATGGAATTCATCATGGAACATGGAAGTTTTCCTACTGTTCCCCGATTGTCTATTGGAAGTGCACCCGCATAAAATATTAACGATATTCATTTCTAAAACTATTACCCTCTACGAAGAAATGTATCTTGTAAAAAAAGAAAAACCATGGTAGATACTACTGAGGACTAAACAAAAAAAAAATGTAGTGGTCACTCTCTTTCATTCTATACTACTTGGTATTTGGTATAGTGCCTTTACAAACCCAAAGGCCAAGTTGAAGTGTGTGCAACTTTACTTAATTGAATTCTATATATGAATTGCTTTGTATATTTAGTCATTTCAATTTTAACTGAATGAATAAGCTGTTGAATAATTAATTCACCTCAGAGAGCTTCATGAGCATGGTTAAACAAGATTTTGTGACCGTCAACTGCATAACATCATGGGACGAGACAGTAATACTCATTAGAGGCGGAGCAAACTCGATGCTTTCATCCTCTGATGAAGTCGTAGAGGTTCCTGTGGAGCTGCTGGCATCCGATATGTCATCGTTCTTCAACATCTAAGACGGAAAAATGGAAGAATTTATTAAAATAAGTTCGCGAAACAAGGTATAAAAAAAAGTGTCGCCTGAAAGACAGAAAATATGATGATTGCCGTATTAAATAGTAAACTTCATAAAATAATTTCCTTACAGATATATTCAAGTGCCAAGGTCGATGGCCTCCTGACTGCATTTCTAGGGGTTCAAGGAGTGGATCCCAGCATGCTGTCTTCTCGTTGTAACTTGACATTTCCAAAGTTATTGTGCTTTCCATCTTCATCTAAAAACAAAAATAAAAGCAAACAGCTAATTAAATTTTATTATTATCATTATTATTTACTATTATTATTACCTGCAGAGAAGATAACTTATTCACCTCCTCTGTCTGTTTGCTGGATTATTCAAAAACTAATTAATGGATCATTCAAAGTTTTAGGGGAGTGATACATAAGGGTCTAATGAAGAGTCAAGGTCACAGAGAGGCTGTTGGTCTGTACCATAGAGAAAACATTACAGTCTAGACAAGATTTTTATTATTATTATTATTATTAAAGAAAGTATTATTCTATACTATCATTATGATTATTATACATTTTTTATTCGCTAGTGCAATTCTTGCTTGAAACTTGCTTTAACCATATTACCATATTTAATCTTTCATTATGAAGAACATCACTCTTTTGCAACCTTCAAGGAAGTTGCTCTCCATGCCCAACACTTTCCTATTATTCCATTTAACATCTATTCTGTCTGGCTTACCCTTGTAGACCAGTCTTTGATGATAGCTTCAACTTTGGCCTCGGCTGACAGCATTGGTAGCATTTTGCTTCCACAGAGCATTTCAACCTTCATACCGAAGGTTTCAACTGTGAATATCAACTCTTCTCCTCTAGAAGTTTCAGGCAGGAGCGTGTCAGACATTGTCTTCAAAGACAACTCATCCACATCAACATCTGAAAAGTAGGATTGATACAATGAAACATTTTCATTATGAATGTTTCTTTATTATATTTGTATTTAGGCAAGACTTTTTATATTTCTTGTTTCGGGAACTTATTTTTTTAAAGATTGTCAGAATAAAATGAAATTTTGTTTTCTTGTTTAGCAAATAGTTTTTTTATTTTTATTCGAAATTTTCAATATTGGAAGGAAATAAATCCAATTCCAAGACAGAAATAAAATCAAGAATTCTTTTCTAAAACACGAGACACACGTGGTCCAACACTTTATGCAATACACAAAGGAGGTTCTCTTTCAACGAACGTTGAATAGGAAATGAGGACGATTGTTAGGGAGACGGTTCGTATGTGGCGCCCTGGGTCTGACTGTTCCATTTTATTTCGAAGGGGTGTTCCGTTTTGGGAACAATGGCAATTAGTCGGTTTATCCAGGTAAGTATTCACGAAATAGACTTTCAATATTGGAAGGCAGAGGGTTTGCGAATCAAGGTATAAAAAATGTCTCGCTTTATTTACAAAAATATTATTCAACAGCAGAATCCTACCACTTAGTGTGAGATAAATAAAATTATGAAACAGAATTAACTATATAAACAAGGGAAAAAGGCTTTTCTGTAGCAGTGAATGTGTTACACGTTACTTACCAGCAGTGTCGTCACGTAGAAACCAAAAGTTCTGATCTTTTACTTTAGTAATGCCCCATAAATCCTTTGGTGCTTCATCATTTTGCTCTTCTTCCACCTAAATATAGAAGACAAAATCACTGATTATAATTATAAATTTAAATAATAGTAAAATTACATTTAATATATAGAGTGTAATTTGAAAATATGTCTATGTGAATCACAAAATTTAGAAGTGACTAGTTGTCAAAATTCACACTAAACTAAATATCATTGGATATAAAACCGAGATAACTATTGCATAACAGTACATACGGGCGGTGGCGTTAGGCCCTGTGCTGCAGCTGCAAGAATGGCTACTGTTGCTGGCGAGATGTTGACAAACACTTCCTGACAAGATACGTTGATATGCTGTGCTCCTCCGGTTGGTGCTTGTAACTGGAATCCAATGTTACATGGGATCAATACCTGTAATAAGCAATAAAGAGTCAATCAACAAGGATTTAGTAAGCGCCATAATCCATATGTTTAGTGGTGCTATGGCAAGAAAGATATTGGCTGTTCTATATCTCTTTCCGTTCGCACAAATGTCTAATCCCTTACTGTTGCACTAACTCGCTCTCATATGATGTCATTATGTCAACATATAGGCAAATCACACAATAAGTTATACAATTCTGTAGTGATGTTGGCATTTATCCGTTTATCTTGGTGAGTAATCACGAAATAGACTTGATATTATGTGGTAAGAGCTTAATAACTCTTAGTGTTCTTATAAACTATTGCATGCAAACATAATTATACCTTTCTGATCTTGCCTTTCCTATTTTCAACAAGATACGGACAAGCATTAATGCTAACTTGTGAAAACCCGCCATTAACAGACATCACATCAGAGTTCATACGTAATCGCATGTCACCAATACTCTAAAAAAAAAAAAAACAATCAGAATGACATATAATAATTGTGCTTCTAAGTGCATTATGCAAATCAGAAATTACTATAAATCTCCTTGTCTTTAGCTTATTTCGTCTATGTCTATTTTTTATAATAAGGTAAGGTGATGTTAGTCCCATATTAATTACTGAATGAGCTGTTAGCCCATCATAGTAGGTCTCAACGTTGTGTGGTAAAGTGCCCAGTTCCTTTCCACAGAAGCTTTTTAACCGCCATAGTACATTTCAACAAGGTACCCATTTATACTTGTATCCAAGCACAAATGAAATGCACAGTGAAAGGTTCGGACCCCCGACCTTGAGGTTGAGAGACCAAAATGCTACTAATTACCATCAGGTTTTGAGTGTCATGCATTGATTAACTCTTGACAAATGTGGAAGAATACTTACTCTCATGACTAGACAGTTAGTGTCCTTGCGGCTAGAATCAGCCACCAGAACTATCTCTGGATTCTCCACTTTCAGATGGAAGGATAAATCCAAAGAGCTTGGGGAAGCAGACTGAGAGCTGTCTTGTACATTCTCTGCTCTCCTCTTTTTCACGTCAGCAGACTCACCATCTTCCAGACCTTTGAGGAAGATCTGCGACATTGTCATCAGGAATTCTACACAAACACAGGTCTGCACATCATTGAAGTTTACAACAACTTTGAGGGGAAAAAAACAAAGAAAATTTTCAAAACAATGTTGAAAGGTTTTGCTTAATAAATTCTTGGTGTGTTTCCTGCTAAATTGATGGATGGTTTTTTTTCTGATGGTTTTAACTTGTTGTTAATCTGTATCCGTTTCTATCAATTGTCTTACCTTTTATCGATGTAAATTTTGATGCAATTTAGTTTGTACTACTAGATCAAAATGTTTTTAATAACAAACCAGAATGAATGAATAAGAAGTCATTTTAATAATTAAAATAAATTAGGAACGTCGATAATTAATACATTCAACATAATCAGTAATGAAATCATGTTGCAATTATGACAAAATCTTGCATATCAAGCCAGGCACAAACGGCAACCCAGTACAACACCAGTCTGCTGATTGTTGGTCTGAGCGTATCGTCATTAAAAATTATCTGTTGCAGACATCCCTTCGCACTGCGTTCTTTATGGAATCACATGGGCCGATGACCATTGGTGAAGAGTATGTCTGGGTTTAGTCAACATAAATCACGTTTGGTTCAAACTATATATACTTTTATTGTGCTAATATGAATTAGTTTAAAAAATAAAATGTTTGGTGAGCAGGATTTTTGCAGGAGTTTTGCAGGATTTGAGCCCCCCCCCCATAACTAGAAGATGGGCAATGTAACTATTGGACCACTCCTTATTATAATGAATATACAGTAAGAAATAATACTTATCACTCACTAAGGATACTTCCATTGCTACGTTGATCTACCTTGACTACCAACATTTGTCTCTCTTCATCTGTATCAGCTTTTCTTCCAAACATTCTGTAATAATTATATTATAACATAAATTTAATCATGAAGGGGTCTCAATCACTGCCTTAAAACCACTTTCACTAAAAATATTTGGCCTACCTTGTGACTCCTTCAATCCTCTCAGGTCTTATATCATCCAGAATGCTGTCAATGAGGTGCATATGAGCACTGAGACTGCCGTCAGTAAGCATATCAGCTTCTACCTCTAGCCCATGAACAGTCAGCCTCCCAAGCCCTTCTTTGGCAATTTGGACACCTGAACCGGTGGTCTGAAACACATAAATACAACTTTCCAACTATTTTTTTTACCAAACTAATGAAAAGATTTCTCTAAAAAAATTTAATTTTACCATATATTCATAATTACATAATATTTCAACAATGTTTTTTAACAATTTATTAAATTCATTCAATAATGGAGGATACTTCCAAAATCATTTACTTACAAGGTCAGGGGACTTTTGGTACAAAGTTATTCCAACAGACTCAATGGTAAAGCTCAGGCTTAATTGGCTTGATACATTCTTCTCGTCAGCCCCCTCACCGTCCTTAGCACCTGTTGAAAAGTTTTATCGGAATGGAAGTAAATTTGTAAAGTGTGTTTTATATGTTGTATAATTGGCTGAATTCAGTTGTTTGACCATATCATACTATTGCCAGGCTCCGATCCAGTAGGAGGCATGGGAGCACATGCCCCCATTTTGCCACTGAATTTTAAAATTACAAGGGATATCAATGTTATGTACTTAAATTATTGCTACTCGCTTATCTATTCTGAAAATGTTGTCCCTCCCCTCACCCTCTCGTTCGAAAAATTCTGGATCCGCCCCCAATTGCTAACGTGTTCAATCAATGTTTATGACTGTTTTAATATCAAACTTAATGTTGTTCACAACAAAAACAATGCATCTTAACGTCAGGTGTCTTGATGGCCATTAAAAGATGTTTCTACTTTGTAGGTTATATTCAAAATGTAATTTACAAATATATTGTTAGAGTATACTCTACTCTAACCAGCATAGATATCATTTCCAAATACCTGTATATTGGTAAAAATAGTTTACATTTATATTACTATTTTTCCTTTAAAGAAGTATGTGTTCATTGAATTTGGAACTGATACTAACATACTAGAAAATATCTTTGGGTACAGTCGTAACCATTCACCATAAAATTCTATGACAATTTAATGTGAAAACATTAATGGATTTTAAAACTCATGTTGTAAACCTACCTTTCTTCAGGCTTTTTTCATCTTTAGTATTCACATCTTCAGACTCTGTGATGTCATCTGGTCTTGCTTTCCCCTCTGTCAAGTTTTCATTCAGGACACCAAATGCTAGACCAATATCACCAGGACCAACATGCATCTACAAAATCATTATTAAATATATTACTTTATTTATTTATATATTTAATTTTTTTACCAAATATAATAAGCAAAATCTAACAAAAAACAACAGAGGTATATCTATGGCACACATCTAACACCCCACCCAACCCCTGCATAAATAGTCTGTGCCCTCCTTCCCCACTGAAAAATTACTGAACAAAAATACTACAATAAAGTATTTACAAATCACCTCATATTACATCATTCTCTCACATACTCATCATTCCTCCCTCCACCTACCCTCCCCACCCCCTATAAATACTTCTACACACAACCTCTATCTTGCTATAGATCTAAAAACCCTCTTACATTGATGGCTTGTAGTTTGCCAGAAATTGTAATAGCTGGAAGTTTAGTGAAGTAAGAAGCTGCAAGGTTTCTCTGAATTTCTAGCTCCATGTTGGCTGGCTCTAACATCAGTGACTCTGCCTGCACCTCACCATTGTCAATGAAAGCCCTGAAAATTGAAACCAAGGAAATCAAAGGGATTAAAGTATTTGATCAACATTGGAAGGCAGGTACAGTGCCTTGGTTTTTTTATAAAAAAGAAATTAACATTTTATTACAACAAATGAAATCCTGCTGGATTTCTTCTGTGATTCCAGTATTGTTCTTACCTTGACAATTTGACATTTCTTAAATCAATGCTCATCGTATCAATAACAGCAGGCACGTCGAGATCCTCAGAACCTGCAGCGATCTTAAACGAGTTCTTCACACACAACTGACCAAGATCTGCATATATCGCCATCTTAGAATTTGAACTACGAGGGATAATCACAACAGGGGCCTTGATGTTCACATCCAACAGCGCCCTCATGGCTTCAGCTTGCATCTCTTGCATAGTCTTGGCTGCAGACGTTGCTGCATCTGCGCCAGCCTCAATCACCACCTTCTTCGCAGTTGAGAAATGATCTACAAATTGCTACAGAATAAAGAATTTTGACATTACACTTTAATAAATGCTCTGAATGTAAGTGGTCACTTTATCGTTAGTGATTGAAAATTATTTCAATCTACGACTTTTATGGAAAATTGATATGCGATTCTATTAAATAAGTAATTTCAAGTTTTATTATAATTTTGTAGGTTTTCACTTGATATTTTGGGTGGCCAACTTTAATACATTAAAAGTAAATGTAGTGCTGTATTCATCTGAACATATGGGAATGAGGTGTTAAGGAGCTCATCATACTAAGCCCCAGCATTGGGTGGTAAGGTGGTTAGATCCTTTCTACACCGCCTTTTAAACCTTCCCAGTTTATTTCAACAGGGTAAATATTTACACTTCTTGGTGTAGGGGGACAAACGAAGGTAAATGTCTTTTCCAAGTAAACAAGCAAAATGCACGGCGAAACAACCCAGATGAGAGAATGAGATGCAACTGCCTCTCTTATTAGTTCACTAGACAGATAAACAAAAAAATACATTAAAATGAAAAAAAAAACCATTGTCTTTGTGGGAAAAGATTGTCTTATTTGGCATATTTCACTCTTAAAGTTTGAAAATTGTTATTATGACTTACTAGTAAATCCATGATAAACTTGTTGACGAACACAGCCTGCAGGCATCCGACACTGAGTGCAAGACTAATGTCCACAGCTGACATGTCTGTATAATGCTGGCCAACGGTGGCGCTGTTGTGTACAACTAGTCCCAGTTTAAAAACTTCAGAACTCTCTACTATGGATAAAATCTATTGAATATAAATTAAAAAATAAAAAACAATTTTTATATTTATCTTCGTAAATAACTGAATAAGCGCCTCTTTGAAATAAGATGTTTCGTATCATTCAGGCACGTCTATAAAACAACAGAATTTTCAAGATTAAATAATACTACTGTGCAACAAGTTATATACGCCTATGTAATACAACACATGGTACCCCTCAAATATTTTAATAGTCATTATTTGATGATGGCACACCTTCTAATAAGAGTTGCACTATGAACCCTTACAAACCTTTGGATAGATAGTGTTTGGTGAAGGATCAATTACTGCCACGTCTTTTAAACTTGCTGACACTATAGTTTGGTGTTTCTGAACAGTCACCCCAGCCTCCACACCTACAATCGAAACAATGACACAATGCTGGCAATAATAATGTCAGCCATATACATTGAGGCATACATTTGCTTTATAATATTACTTGAGCCATTTGATCAAACAGCTATGAAACATATACACATTTTCCTGGGGAAGTATTAATATAAAAAAGTGACCATATGCAAAAACTTCCATAATTTTGGAGCTCTCAATCAGTGAATTAGCATTAATTAGCACTTAAACCTATCCGGTACCACTTTTATTATACTCTTGGGTAGAGAAAAAATTATGTAAAGACAAAATACTGTCCAGCTTTAAATTTCATTAGGCATTTTAATCTGCAAAATACATTTATCAACAAATATCATTTAGGCACACAGAATATTTCCATATATTTGCGTTACCTTTAACATCAATATGTGCGAGGGCAGCATCACATGTGCACGCTTCAATTGAGATGACATCCAGCTTTGCCATCAATTGAATATCAATCACTTTGCTTGGTAATGGTCTAGTTTGACGTTTCCTTACTAGAAAAACAAGAAAAGTAATAATGTTATCATGGAATCGATTAGCACACAGAAGTTCAAATTAGGGTCCTTTTGGTGATGACTTGGGCATGTACCAGGAGACAATCACTTAAGCCTTCCAGAAAAGTGTACTGCATTCTTCAACATGCATTTGAGCTATATTGCACACACACAGCAACTAAAACGTCTCTTCTAAAAGACAGTGCTGTATCCCACTCTCTTAATTTGAATATAAACACCTGTGTGTACCCACCTGGTTTTTTGTCGCTATCACTTGAATAACCTTCATCAAGAGCCTTATCCTCATCTTGATTGGTATCCAACATGGCAACAATTTGCTCAGAGAATGTCACAAGGTTGAGAATGGCTTGAGCATGAGCAATTAGCGACAGACCGGCAACCTCAATTTGTATGTTCTGCTCCGTTGAATTGTGCACAGTATGAAAATCTGGATTATCCTTTTCGATCTAAAAACATTTATAAAATAATTAAGTATAAGATGAGAAGTGGATATTTAAGGAGATGTTGGAAAACATCAGTGGCGTATCTAGGTGGTGCGCATGTCCCTCCTCCCTAAAAATAAACCTTTTAATTAGACATGGTTGATATTTCTTATTATAAGTAAATTTTCTATGATTGAACCCAGGACACTGACATCAGATTGAGAGTATGTTACCCACAGCTCCATCATGGGTATGAAGAATTCCATGTTACTTACCTTCTGATAATTCAAGTGCATCAACCTCTCTCCAGTGTCAGCTTGTAATGGTGTCTTCACTAGGTACAGATCACCACCATCTAATGCTAAAAAGATAGAAAAAAAAATGTTTTCTCTATATCTTATTAGCTTATTCTTAAATAACAAAAACATTCAAATATAGATGTTCCTTTAAAGCAATATTTTAAGTTTCAAAGAGATTTTTAAAAATTTATATTGTAATCTATTTTATTGTTCTTGTTTTGTTTATGTATTGCACATCCAAAAAGCACACCTTACTAGTGACAGTGTTTTTATGCTTTAATTTCTCCTTGGCTTTAAAGTCTTTTTGTCTGTTCTTTTGTCCTGTTGTATTTTGCCGAAATGAATCAAATAAAATACACATTTCTGTATTCCTCTAATGCATCTACCATTCCTTTCTCAAATCTTTTCAATCATGTAACCTGTCCATTCTTGTGAACCTTGCATTATTTTTCCACTTAATCTCAAAAATATTATCATCATCACCACCACAAGTGTGTCAACATAAAACAAACCTTCCATCTGCATGTGCTGCACAGAAACACTGCCAAGGGAAGCATCCAGTGTGACCTGCCATGGCTTCAGGTCGACCTTTGCTCCCAGTCCTATGACGTTAATCGCAAGAAGTGGTACATCAACTGTTCCATTGTTCTGGCAGATATTTAATATGATCTAAAAAGGAATAGCATAGTAAATGTTTAATTGATGTCTTTACTACAACTAAACACTGTGACAGCAACCACCCTAAGCTACAGTACACACAAGATGCATTCTGCACTGTAGATTCGGTCAAATTGCGTCTTAGAATCAATGTGACGAGGAGAGCTTAACGTTCTCGCACGTGCAGATGACTTCTTGGCGACGTCATTGTGTTCTACTTCCTACTGTCGTCGTGCAATCTAAAGCTCACTAGTATCTGGGCTAGGACAGACAACTCTAAATCAGATTATGCCAAATAAAAAAAATTGTTATGTTGGCCATGCCCGACCGACCCAAAAAGTATGAAATCATACATTTAACATTAACATTTAACATTTTAGTCTTTTTTTAACGAAAAAATATTTTTTTTTAATGAGCTAAAAAAGGCTGGAATAGTCCTATTTTGCTGGATGGTAGACGATGCGACAGTCTAATGCAATCGTTTTGCTCTTCAACATAGATTTTAAAATGGTCTTTGTTGTAATGTTGTGTATTTTCTACCATATTTGCAGATCTTTACCCTTTTTACTTCAAAATCTAACTCAAGATTGCTCCTTGGTTGAGAGCCTAGACTCTGTTCCCTCTTCAATTTGGGTTTTGTAGTTTCAAAATCTCCTTCATCGGCTGATAAAAACTCATCTTCATCCTCCCCTTCAGTAGCTACAGAAGGTGCATTTATAGCAAACTTCTTGGTATCAAACATAACCACATCTCTAGTAGTGGTTAGTTTCTCCACCTGTGAATGTTAAAAATAGAAAATGTAGCTGAAATTTTTCAATTTTTGTCTTTAAGCAAATAAAACTTTATAACGCAGTATTATATCAGTTGTTGACACAATTTCCATATCTTTATAGGACAGCTTGTTTTATTAATAATAATAATGTATTCTTTGTTTACTAATAATAATGTATTAGTGCATTCTTGTTTTCAGTAGCCTCATTCAATATTAAGTGGAAATAAATATATTTTTACCAACAGTTTTTTTTTTAATGATTTACACAAGTTGTTCTTCAGATTCACGATATAATGTATAGAAACTTTTAGCATTATACAATCAATCTGATTAATAATAAGTTTATCAAATATAATCTGAGGCTGTGTATGATAAACAAACAATAATTATCTTCAGTATACCATGTGTAAAAAGGTCGCCAATAGAGAGTCTTTAAAAGAATACTAGTGTTTTATAATATCAAAAACCTTTCAGGAATTAAAGTGGGAAGCGGTTGGCAAAGAAGTTGCGATTCAAGCTCGCTATGCATTTTGCTTGAGTCCGTGAGCAAGGAAATTTATCTATAGTTGTCTAACTCCATCCCAGAGTAAAAGCAGGTTCACATGCATAATACGTTGATATCAGTTGAAATGTTAGGGAACCTTCTCCACTAATTGGTCAATGGGTTCAAATGCAAAAGCGCTGGTTACTATTAAACTAGCTAAAAATATTATGGACTTCTCAAGGGCTGGTTACTATTAAACTAGCTAAAATATAATGGACATGCATTTTATACAGTATAGATCCAATGGGGTAATAAAGTGGAGAAAATGGATGATGCACTCATCTGCAATATGGCCTATAGTACCAAATGCATGACCATACAGTTCTAGAAATTCTAAAATTTAACAAAATTTTGATTCATATAATTTCATTAGCTTTGCAGTTATGAAATTAGTGAATAAGCAAGCCAATGTACCCTTAAGCTAAGCACCACTACTTGGATATTATGGCTAAGGTCCCATAAAACAAAAGTTTAAAAACATATGCAAACATGTGCCTTTGTGGAACAACACGTGTGTTTGTGATGCACGCGTGTTCAGTTGATAAGTTTGATTGACACCCCGGAAAGGTCTATTGTGAAAGCATTGCAGCTAGCAGGTTAACAAATTTGGAGGTGCTAAGGTGATCACATCAGTGCACTCGTGTATTCAAATTAAAAACTCAATAAAGGTAATCTCAAAAATTAGCCCGACCATCACCATATATGGTCGTTACTTTGTATATTTCAGTTTAGATAATATAAAAGTTATGTGGAGGAATGAATCAAAAATTCCAAAACAACTTTCCAGAACCAACTTTTAGCAAAAAAAAATTATTTGAATAATTAAAAACACTAAATAACCACTTCTACAAAAACATGTCAATTGTAGAATTCCAAAAGTATTCTAAATGAATGACATAGGATTTAGTCAACATTCAATATTCAGAGAGAGAAAAGAGAAAAAATAGAATATATTATACTAATATAATAGTATATACAGAATCTACACAGTACATGAGAAAGAAAGCCAATTCTAGATTATGTAATAGCACATAACATCATATGAGGCTTGCCATACTGCAACCTGCATACTATCACTAAAAGTTAAACCAGGGAACAGTGTAATTTCACTGTTCCCTGGTTAACCTTAGTAATTAGTATAAGACTGTGCCAGTTTTGTATACTCATGACTTCGGCAATAGTATGTGGATTCCAGTAAATTATCTATCATTTTAAAGCTTAAAATGTTGAGAATTTTACTTAGTAAATATGTAAATATTCATATAATGTGTATGAATATATGTATGTATATGCATAGCCTATAACAAGAGTATGTTTGTATGAGATATATACTAAAAATGAGAATCAAGGTGGGCTGCTACGACGAAAGAGGAAAAAATAAAATGTGGAGAATAGGAATATATTAAAAAGTCAATTTTTATTTCTTGGTCACTGATGACAGATTTGGGATGGCAAGCCTTGCATGTTATATATAAACTACATCATTAACAAAACATGTGAAGAAGATATTTCTGTTAAATTCACATAGTATGAAAAGAAAATCAACAGATACAATATAATTGAATCAATAGAAGAAATATTCAAATAATATGATAGGATAATAAACACACATCTTAAGATAAACAGATTAGTGAAAAACAAGAATTCAATGATCATTCTTAGGGCTAATATGTGTTACTTCACGAAAAATAAAAACTGAAAGTTATCTATTACTATTCGAATACAGTCCACATCAAAACATATCTTAAATAAGTTAGATATAGTATAGTAAAACAATTAAAGAATAATAATAATATTTATTTAGCACAAAGCTAATCCAACTAACTGGAATATAGTATATTGCAACCAATATCAAATTAAACTAAGATGACATTTTTTTTCAATCATCTTTTTAACAGTTTTATAGACTGAAACCAAAATATTCATCATTATTATTACTATTAGGCCTAGTATTACAATTAATTTGGATCAAGGGTTTTATTCTCTGAAAACAATATATTTAGTTATATGATGAAATTAACTTGATGAAAAGAAAATTAGTTGATGTTAATATTTCATTAATTTCAATTTATGAGTAGGAAAATCCTTTACCAATCTTTTGTCCGAACATGCTATAAAAAGTCCTTTATATAAATGACTCTAAAGTTCAATACATACTTTGAATCATAGTGTTATAAAAATTTTAATTTGATATAAATTTGTCATCTTTCAGAATCCAATTTTATTTGTAATTTTGCTTTGATGCGGTGTTATTTGAAGAATATATTTTGCACACAAATCAGAAACACTACAGTATATCGAATTAGTGATTGATTAGGGATAGGAAAATTGCAAGTGCAAATTTAACTGATGATGTCACGACTGACTTATATATATTTATATATGTATTTTGTACAATATAATTTTATAATATTGTATACTATGTTTCTTTGTTACGTATGAGAATTGTCTCTGGCTTTAGGTCATACTTCATTTAGGAACCAGCTCTCCCATTATAAGCTTTGCAATATTTTAAACAAATAAGAACATGCAAATATTTAATATCAATTAATATCAGTTGCAAAAGAAATCATGCTAGAAACGTGTGTAATATTAGTATGAACAGGTTCAGGTTACAAAACTCAATTGAAATAAAATCAATAGTTATACGAAACTAACTTCATGCTGAGAAACGATAGAGGAAAGTGTTTTTTTTTTGTTTTTTTTTGGTTTTTTTTTTAGTGCTGCAAATAGAACTGAAGTTTATTAAATTTTCTTACCACCCCATCATGCTTGTCGGTTATATGCTGCAATAATGAACAATGTATGAATATATCGGTAAGTATCTAACTATCTGTACATTCGTTAATGGCAAATCATTGTTGACTACAATATTCATAGGTCTATCACCTAAATTTAAACGTAACAGTGATTACAGTGCGTCACACCTATATGTTGTTAGACTTTTACACCCAATATCAAGAAAAAGAAAACCAAGGTGAAACATGAATATTATAGTGGAGGAAATTCCCATTTACATCAGACAGAAAATAAATGACCAAACTGCACACATGTACACTGCAAACAAATATCACTAATATAAGTAACAATTGAAAAAAAAATATATTAAAAACCCCCTTTTCAATGCAGAGAGGATGAGAAAGATTTGTTACTTGGCAAAAAAAAAACATCACATTAGAAGATAGAGCCAATAAATCTGGTATCTTCAGTGCTGTTTAGCAAAACGTTCTAAGATAGAACATTCAGCTCCAGGGCAGATTGGAGCTTCTGCACCAGAGTAATTGACTTTTTGTCAGTTGCACTGACCAAAAATCTCTGACAATGTATACCCCTTTGTGGTGGTAGCTTAAAAGTGATATTTTAAAGGTTAAGTTCATCCAGGAATTTACAAAATAGATACAAGAAATATGCCAGAAGAAACATATATATAATGGTTAAATGCCACACATCAATTATAAGGACAAAAGAGCATATGAAGTACAAGATTTACAGACCAGTGGTGACTCCAGAAGTTTTACAGAGGAATCCAAACCAAGGGTTGCCTAGAGCCTCTGATCAGACTTCATAAGTAAAACCTCTGGTGAAGTCATCAAATTTTGGGGTTTGAAATGAAAACAAAAAATCTTTTAGACCACAACTTAGGAACTGCAACAGAAAAGGTTTTTCTTTTTGTTCTGCAGGTAAACACATAATGAAGTTTATTAAACATTCTTACCACCCCATCATGCTTGTCAGTTATAGGCTGCAATAATAAACAATTTATGAATATACCAGTAAGTATCTAACTATCTGTACATTGCTTAATGGCAAATTATTCCTTACTACAATGTCCTTAGATTATCACCCAAATTCAAATACAGGTTTTTCTCTACTTAAAGACCCCTCCAATTAAAGACAACTCTAATTAAACTGTGATCTCAAATTAACGTAACTCGTCGCAAATCCTGTTTCAGAGATAATGGCCAAAACATGCTGGAATATGTCAAAATATTTGAAATCTATTTTATTGCACTAAACTAACCTTTATATATATACATCACGCTATGCTGTTATTTTCCCCATTTTCAATATAAAAACAACAATTTTTAATGATTTGGTAATGGTTTCTTCCTGAGAAATTCCCAAAATCATAAACTATGGAGGCTGATTTCTCAAATACTGTATTGTTCTTTAAACAGTTGTGACTTCATAATGAAATGTTAGATTTAAATATTTCTTTTACCATTTTATAGCTCTCATTTTACCGTTTAACCCTGCATTAATAACTAAAATCATGTTTGCGACGAGTGACCGGTTTGGCTTGTCTTTGCCACAAATGTCTTTTATACCCTGGGCACAGATATAAGGGAGGGAGAACCATATGAAAGTAATTACAGTGCATCACACCTACATGTGGAACATTCCACAATTAATGTGGAGTATTGTTGGTAGACTTTTACACCTGATGTCAAGAAATAAACAAGACTATGATTCCGTAGGCAATTCTCATTTACATCAGACATAAAATAGACCAGACTACCAAACTGTGCACATTTTACACTGGTAACAAACATCAGTATTAGATGCAAGAGTCAAAAAAAAAAAAAGAGAATCCCCTTTTTATGCAGCGAGGATGATATATTTTTGTTATTTGACATAGAACAACATCGGATTTGAAGGTAATGCCGATAAATCCAGTATCTTTAATGCTATTCTGCAAAAACTCTTCCATGGCTCCATGGAGTGTTCAGCTTCTGGGCAGCTTGGTGTTTCGAAACCACAGTAAATATGACTTCTTGTAATTTACTTTTCACTCTGACAATGTATGTACTGTTAGTTGTGGTGGCATTGTAAAAGAGATATTTTATAGCTTAAGTTCATCCACATATTAACAAAATACTGTAGATACAAGCAATATGGCACAAGAAATTATATGTGGCAAAGACAAGCCAAACCAGTCTCTCATCGCAAAAATTGATTTTTAGTTATTAATACAGGGTTAAACAGTAAAATGAGAGCTATAAAATGGTAAAGAATCATTTAAATCCAACATTTCGTTATGAACTTCAAGGAGTTTAAACATACAGCTGTTTAAAAGAACAATATTTGAGAAATCAGCCTTCAAAGTTTACGATTTCGGGCATTTCTTATGCAAAAACCACCACCAAATTGTTAAAAATTGTTTTAACATTGAAAATAGGGAAAATAACTTCATAGCATGATATATAAATAAAGGTTAGTTTAGTGCAATAAAATAGATTTCCAAAAATTTTGACATTCCAGCATGTTTTGGCCATTATCCCCGAAATAGGATTTGTAACGAGTGACTGGTTTGGCTTGTCTTTGCACACATATACAGAACAGTGGTGGCTCCTGAATTTGGTATATACATGGGATCTAAAAGTTTGACAGAGGAATCCAAACCAAAGGGTTGCCTAGGTTCTCCAGTCACAGTTCATGAGTAAAACCCGTAGTGGGGTTATACAAATAAGATTTGAGGCTTTAGAATGAAAATAGTTTTTAGACCACAACATTAGAAACTGCAACAACATTAACTGAGGTTGAAAAATTAATGTTTGTAGGATAATGGCCTCAGATGGCATTCAACAAGGACAGTCCATAATTGTCTGATAAAAGAAACCCCCCTGTTACTGCGCCACTACTGAAATAGCCACTACATTAGCTTTGAAGTTCTCAAGACATTAATATTTAAGCTAAGGTAAATGGTATCTTAGCTTTAAAGGTCTGAGACACATTGCAAGCTGTGTCTAGTCAATATGTCTCTGGAATTAAAATGTTTAAGACACTTGTACTGCACGTTGCACGTACCTCTTGGCCTTAAACAGCAGACAAACTATAATTTCAACCTCATTTTTACAAATAATATTTACTACAAAAGTCCTTAAATTGATTACTAGTGTGCAAAACATATAGTCTAGTTTTATTTATGAGTCTCTGAGGAAAATCATTTATCATTTCATAGCTACTAAATCAAATATACAAAGTAAGAACTTCAAAAATATTAAATTTATAGGTAAACACAACAGTATATCTTTAGGACACAAGACATGAACATAATAAAACAATCATAAATATGACAAATTACATTTAAATTATTATATGAAAAGATATATAATTTAAAATATTTTTAGCTAACTGCATGATACTGGTTTTCTTGTACAGACTTCACTTACAAGAAATTCTCTTAAAAAGAAAATATATTTAATAACTGTTAAATAACGAAGTTAAAAAGTATAATACAGTGAAAATACATTTAATATTGTTAAATCTAAGCAACGAGTGTACAATGGGACTATTGCATGTGCTGGATTAGTGAGGATTATTACAAAATGTACAGATTACAAGGATTAATAATGAATTGTTAAGAAACAGCAATCCTGGAAGAGGTAAGTGATGCCAATATTAGTGGAGAAGTCTACCATAATTGGTAGCCTACAGGTGGTGAGGTCTACTCAGTTGGTAGGATACAGGTGGAAAGGTCTACCACATTTGGTAGGATTATAGTGGAGAGGTCTGCCACCAATGGTAGACTACAGGTGGAGAGGTCTAACATAGTTGGTGACCTTCAGGTGGAGATGTCTACCACAGTTGGTAGGACACAAGTGGAGACATATACCACTGTTGGTAGGATACAAGTGCAGAGGTCTGCCACCTCAGTAGCCTACAGGTGGAGAGGTCCACCACGGTTGGTAGGATACAAGTGGAGATGTCTACCACAATTGGTAGGATACAAGTGAATAGAATTTTATATTGAATGCTAAAATTTAATCATTGGCATCACTGGCCATCTTAGGGTAAGCATGCACTATATGACAAAGACAATTAGTGGCACTTGTTAAAAAATGTTTACATCAGGAATATTTAACTAACATCTTCACATGGTGTGAAATATCCGTCCGACGTAACATCCGAATCATCATCATCCGAATCATCATCGTCTGAATCAAGGTTGACATTTAAATTGACACCTGTTTCTGACAGTAATTGTAATGGAATGATGGCTGAAGAACTGAATGAAGCCTGCATGGAAAAGTGTGGGTTTCAGTCAGTACTAAATACAGTGCCCTCAATAGGCTGGGTGGGTCATAGAAGGCACTGCAGATTTTGTGACAATAAAAAAAAAAAATAAATTGTACACTAATTAAAAAACAATAATTTAAATATGATTTTTTAAATATTTCTGTGCGATAATGGTAAAAGGAATGAATAAATAAAATTATTAATTAATATACATTGGCCATTAAACAAAAAATTATATAAATAATATAAAAAATGCAAATTAAAATAAAGTCAAAACAAAAGTGCTAGAGGATGGATCAGATTCGAGATATTAAATTGATAAGCGAAAGCTGAAATGAGAATGCAAGTGAAACAGCCATAACGAAAATCTGAGCTTTCAGAAAACACTATTCTTCGTCAGTGGTACAGGGAAGCCGGCCACTCATGGCGCACGACAGTCGTCGGCCAACGCGATTCTATAAAGAACGCAAGGCGACGACGCTCGCACAACAGATCGTTTTTAATGACAATCAGTTCAGATTGCTACCGACAATCAGCAGACAGGGTCGCGTCGTCTATCGCTCACAGAGAGCGGAGTTGGATTCGTCGTGCAACAGTCGCACAACGCAGTAAGTGCCCGGCTTTAAGAGAACAACAGCCAAGAAAGGGTCAAAACATTACTGTAGGTAAGATAAAGCTAGATTTATAGTTTGCAGTGAATAAATAACAGAAATTAAGGCTAAAAATAACTGTAATTATTAAAAACAATATAGAACTGCAGATAATATAGGTAGTAATACATAAATATAATAAAAATCATAAAACTAATATATTTAATTCATGGAAATGTAATTATAATATTAATACTAAAATAATTATATTTCTATGATTATATTATTGAAAATAATATGATAAAAATATATATTTGATCAAAATAATTGAAATAAATAATAAAAATAACTGACATAAGATGGTATAATCAAAATGATGATAATTTTAAAAACAAGATATACAATTTACACAATACACTATCTGGTAGCATTTCAATACAACACTAACACAAATAAACCTGGTCACACTCTGCACCGTACAGCGTTTTCCAACAATTTCATCTCCACTTTCTAAGTGCTTGCCAACACAATGCCATCTGCTGATTGTCGGTGGCTAAATTGCATTGTCGACGACTGTCAGATGCAGTGTGTGTCTAGCTTTAATCAAGCATTGACTCACAAGGTGGAATATGCAATAGTAGCAGGAGTAAGCATACATTATTTAGCTTCATTTTGGAAAGAAATACTACATTGCGTAAAAACCTTTAACAAAACTAAGCGATTAGTATAGTTGTATTCAATACACTAAATGAGGATTTTGCACAAACAATAACATTAATGCATGAAAACATTTCTGCAGACAATATATCTTAAATAGTAGACACTGATAAGAGCTAAGTGGCCCAACCTTTTCACTTTCTTTTTCTAATCCACTATTGCTTGAACAACCGTAGTAAAGGGATTAGTCCCTATGAAAAATATTATATTATCACCCATTCTGGCACCCCACTATATTTGAAAAAAAAAATTATTTGGCTCCCTTGCCTGTTCAAGCCCTGTGATGTGGAAAACAGCTTTCTGTTAAGTTAAAATTTCAAATAGATGGTATATTACCAGTTTTTATCACTTTTCAAAGTGGATTTGTGATGTCATAATGTTTTCATGGGCCTTATTCAAGGAATGAGTACAAAGTAATTGTTTACCTTAGATGCCGCAGCGGCTTGTTTCTGGTCTGGACTCTTGGTTTCTGGGAGGGGAATACTTGTTGCTAAGGAGATGAGATCTTTTAACTTTTTATCAGAGATGTCAACATCAAGCGATGGCAACTCCCCAGAAATACGAACCCTAAAAAACAAGCGAAAATAAACAATCAGCATCAGATTTTAATGGAGACCACAAATATTAAAATGGCACTTTTGAATATCGTAATTTTTTTCTTTATTATATACAACTTTCATAGTAAGAGTTAGCTTCAAACAGAGCTGTTAAAATCAATCTCGAACCTGCTGAAACTTTGCGTTTTACATAAGAATACAAGAAAGTATGAAAATGTGGATGTCTTGAACTTGGTTCATCTTGCACCAAAGTATAATCTCTTACCCTATACAAGAAATACAAGCAAGGCACACATCTGCTGTCACATCTGTTACTTACTTAGGCATTCTGTTATCTTCTACCAGGCATTTGTGCAGAGCAATTTGAAGGTTTAATGGTTGTAGTAGATGAAGAGGTGATTGGATCTGTTTGCGAGCCGCCTGCCAATCATCACCTGCAAATTTAAATTAAATGTCAAGCATGGTCATCATGACATAATATCATGACCATATATAGGCAACATCATGACTATACATGGGCATACAACAGAAAAATTATACCTTGGTTGGCTAAAATTATTTGAACACTCTTCAAATCCATGTTGAAACGATCATACGACTTCTTCATTAATTCCTCAAGACTTTCATTCTGTTGCAAAGAGAAATAATTTTGAATTAATCTATTACACTTTTATTAAACAGATTAGGCAGCTACAAAAATTACAATAGATTACCAACTATTTTTAAAAACCTAAATAGTGATAATATTGGTGTCTTTCAGGATAATCTTGTTAAATTTAAATCGAAGATCATGCGTCCCCTTTTTGAAGAGAATGCATGATCATCATTTTATCATTATCATGATTTAGTGATAGAATGATTGTTTTCTTTTGTATGTTTTGTATACTGCAGGGGTGGCGCAGTAACTCTTAAATTGTCATAGTTTTCGGGGACCTCGAAAAACACTGTTGGGCAATTCTTGGCGCCACCACCGGTTTCTTGTAGACATGATATATATTATTATTGTTTATAAAACCTGTTAGCGGCAGCCTTCGTATAAAAATATAAAAAATTAATTAACTTTTATAATAAATATAAAAATTAATTGTAATATTCACTTGAATAGAGAAACTGATATAGCATTTAGATTTGAGCTCTTGAAAAGCTTTCATAGAATAGGACAACATTATTTGTACATACAGTATGTTACATAAGAATGCAATGTGTTAATTAAAAACGGTTAAATTACTTTGTAAATGTAAATATATTTTCTATTCTGTAAAAAAAACCCCTTACTTCTTTTCTTGGTGCATCAACTTTGACTTCATGTTCGGTGGTCATTCTAAAGTGACCCAGGTCAGCAACAAGTACCTTACCATTCCTATATATAGAAAATGATGTCAATGATGAACAATAACATTAAATACATTTTTGATGTCAGAAAATTATTATGCTAGTAGCTCATATTTTTGTCTACTTTTTAAAAATATAAAATGCATTTAATTTCAATGGGAGTCTAACATATTAAAACAAAATAAACTTGTATCATTAAAGTCTTTATCTAAACTAACCAATTTCAATTTTCTCATTTTATGGTAAGACTATAAGCCAACTTCTATTATTTGTATTAAAATAAACTAAGCTAAATTTTACATTTTGTATGAAAACTACTAGTAAAATTCTATTTTTAGCAAGATTCAACGGTACATATTAAAAATGTATACTAACTTTGAATAGACGCCGTTTTCTGGGATGATGATATAGGATGGCTTGAGGTCAACGGTCACATCCAGAATTGTCTTAGTGTCTGCCATGTACTGGAGGCTAGTAGCAGATTGCTCAGTAAACTCATCAATAGTAGAAGCAGCAGCTGCTGATAACCTGGTAAGAAAAAGAATTTTAAGTGTATAAAATATAGAACATAAACTGGCCAGTATATTAGAGAGAAATAATAACAGTGTTGTACCTGGGGGTAGGTGGGGATACTTCCCTCCACCCATAAAAAAAAGTTTCCTTCCATTGGAAATCAGCTAAGCAAAAAAATTAAATTTAATTAAAAATCAACTCACATCACATCAATCCTAGTTAGCACACCGTCTTTCGTTTCTCTTCATATCCTCATCAGCCGCCCTCCCCCAACCTCTGACATATAAAAAATCCCTAGATATGCCACCAAAGTTAAAAAAAAACAAAACAAAGGAATATAGGTCACAAGTCACAAACCAGCACCTGTGAAGTAATGTTCCAACAAATGCCTAACTGAGCTAAACCATACTTTATCTATTCAAGGGCCCCAGGCAGAGATCCTCATTACAGCAGAGAAAAAATACTGTGCTGGGAGGTGGTTATTTGATAAAACGTTTGAAATGAAATGTACTTACTCTTCAAGGTGTACATCTTGCGGTGGCTCAAAGAATTTCACAATTTGATTGATGGTGTTCTGTGGACCGATCAATTACATTAACAAATTGAAAGATTGAAAATACACTTATAAAGTAATTAGGTCTGTCAAATCATTCAAGCATGAAGCATGATGCTTCAACATCCAGTAGTAGTCAAGGTGATGATTTCAAAGTAATACATTTAATGCATACAAAAATAATGATGAATTAATAAATTTGAGTACAGTGAAGATGATGATAGTGACAATGGTAAAGATGATAACGCTGAAGATTGTGATGATAATGATGATGATGAGTTTTATGATGATAATGATAATGACGATGGTGGTGATAATGATATTAGTGATGATAGTCAAAATGATAAAGATGAATTTTTTTTAAATGATGAAAAAGATGACAACAACAAAAAAATGATAAAAGTGGTAGTTGTAATGATGATGACGAAAAGTGTGGCATGGCGGATACAGTGATGACAATAAAGTGGATGATGATAATTATGATGCTGAAGGTGATGAGAATGTTGTTGTTGACGATAATGATAATTTCCATGATAAAGATGAAGTTTCTGAAAATGAGGAAAAAGATGACAATGATAAATATAATGATGAATGGTGGTTGCAGTGATGATGACAACATGCCATGACATGACAAGTGTGGGCATGACAGATATAATGATGAATTAAGAGTACAAAGCCTAACTCACAGAATCGTAGACAATCTTGAGTGGTCTGGTTAGCACCTTAACCCTCTGGTCTACACTACCGTCAAGGGGATTGGTCTCAAACTCCACCTCCAGAAGATCGACCTTCTTGTCTGCCTCCAAATTCTGAGACTCCACCATCTGTGGCTGCTCGCTGCCCACTGGTGTACCAAACACACTGAAGGTGTTCAGCTTGGCCTCAACTCTGAAATATATTGCGTATAATCATTTAGCATATGTTCTCACATGGCAGCTAATGGTTAGCAGGATCCGGATCCTGATAACCGTTAGCTGCCATGCATCCATATGAAAAAATCCCGATCCGGATACCACGAATATGATAATCGAATCATTGGCTCCCAATTCCAGATACTAGGTCTCTCGTGAGAACCAGGCTTTGAAATCCAGTCAGTGTTCTCCCGAAGCCGTCTTAGCCGTCAATTTTACCGGTAAAAATAACCAACCAACCAGTAAAAATTTTGAGTTTGTAAAATAAAAAAAACTATTGATTAGGCTTATGTAGTCCAGGCTGGCCCTCTTAATAAATAACCATCATTCCAGTCTATATCTACACGATGAATATGTGTTGTTGTGTCTTCAAGTCATTTAACCCAACTAAAAAGGGGTAACGTACCTCACATTGTGCGCATTGCAATTTTTTATGGACAAATTTACCAGTAAAAATTTTTCATTTGGGAGAACACTGGCAGTATATCAATCGTTTACTTATAGATTAGACTGGTGATATATTCAAAACCATCATCTACAGCAGCAGTCTCAGGATCAAAGAGGCCACTTTCAAGACATCTGACTTAAGGCACTTTTTTAAAACATCTAATTATACTATTAAACTAATTCAAAATAGAACATTTGTGGGGTATCATGGGGCACTTAAAGTACTGAAGTAAAAAACAACTGGAATGAAAAACACTTTCTGAAATGCAGACTCTAAATCACCTTCATTTTTTTTGTATACAAATTCTCCAAAATATGCTACCTTCCTATCTTGTAAATATATTTCAATACTGTTCAAATAATCCTAACTTTAGATATAGCTATTCAAATGTTGTATTGCCTTTACCAAAGGGTGAATATAAAAAGCAAAGCTTATCTTATCAAGGAGCATTAGAATGGGATAATATTGGTTTAGATAAACAAAATGTAGCAAAACTCTGCTCATTTAACCATAAGATTAATACTTTATTTTCATCTACTTTTGCAATTTCTATTAACTTTTGTCATTATGTGTAATACCGTTTTGTATGAATATGCACGACCACAGGTAAGAAAAACCTCTGTAGTTAAATAAGGTTGAAGTGCATTTGAACATTTAACTTTGTGCAGGATAACCAGATAACCATGGTCAGATGATAGTCAGATGATTTGTATGGAGAAAATTTACCGAACAGTGGTAAAGTTATTCTAAATCTGCAAGTGATGGGTTAGTTTGTGAGATATATTATGAATAGGTTTAGCTTATACCTGATGGCGTCTGCCGATGGTCTCTGACTGATACCTGCTTTCAAGTCAGATATTTGCACGCCAAGTACATTGCACTTGTCAGCTACAGTATCATCCACCAGGTTGACAGATGTCTGGATTAGGTGAAAGTTTAAAAGAATTCCAATATACTGCAAAAAACAAAGTAATTTTTTTTTAAACAATAACTTACTTTTCAAAATACTAAGAAAACAATGCAATATTAGTAAAAATAAATAATTATATTTATGGTTCATTGAGCATCATATTTCTAATGTAATCAAATGGGCTGCTGAGTGTTTAAATTATCACTTTTACTTTTATGAATATAAACTGTCAGTTTTTTATTGATTTTTTTTTTATGTTTTTTTTTTTTTTTTTTTAGTTTAATTTACTGTATTTTTTGTTGCTTGTAAACAGTAGTTTAATTTGAGAGAGCAGCTGGCTCAGTCGGCTAATCTGGTGGTAGCCGCTGTGTGTCCGCTGAACCGTGGAGATCTCTAGGTCCCCGGTTCAATTCCCATCGCTGCCTCTCCTTGTGTTTCAGCTAGAGGGCTGAAATACAAGTTACAATAGCGCACCGTCTTTCGGATGAGACGTTTAAGCCGTTGGTCCCGTGTGCATTATGGCCCATGTGCACGTTAAACGCAGTACACTCATCGGAAAAGAGTAAGGGATTGCCTCCCGGTGTACTGCCCAATCACCACCAGAAGGACCCCACTGGAAATAAGTCTTCTTCTAGACTTTCGTGGGCTATCCTTGGTGTTTACACCGAATAAATCCAATCCAATCCAATTTGGCGTAGTAAAGGTACTTTTCATGTATCTTTTGTTTGTTCTTGACTTTTCTTTGTATGCACTATCAATGTGATGTGTGCCACTGTAACAAAAGTGATTCCTAATAAAAACTAAGCTGGCAGAATAACCCATAAGTTGCAGTATCATTGTGCTAAATTGAAACCACTACTGTGAAATTAAGTAAGCAAATTTGCCCTGGGTAAGCATCGTGTGGATGCTCATCTGAAGGAGGGTGCGGGGGGGGGGGGGGGGGAGGAGGGGGAAAGAGAAAAGTGTAACTAGAATGTAATTTTTATTTTTGCTTGGTAACTTCTCAGTGAAAGAGCCAGGGGAACTCATCCCATGCTTGTGTAGACATGGATTGTCTGCCGCTGTGCCATATTCACCTCCTTTGGAAAGACTGTGTCTGGGATTTCCTCTGTATATCCAATAGCTTCATACAGCTTGGCCTTGTCATCTGCTGTCATTGCATTTTGCATTCTTTCTAAAATATTAACATGACACATAGAAGTATGAATACACTGAAATTGAAAGTTATACATTGTAGTTTTGTTGTTAATAATATAACCACCAATCCTGAGCAATGCAACTAAAAATTCATAAAATTTGTATCTTCAATATATGAACCCTTAGGCGAGACTTTTTATTCCTTGTTTCACATACTTTTTCTTTAACAGATCATCGGAGATGGGCAGAATAAAAATAAAAATAAAATTGAGTTTTCTTATTTAGCAAATAATTTTCATTCATATGGAGGAGAAAATAAATATCAAATTTTATTGTTGAATGTAAAATAGGATGGTTACATGCTTTAGATTTATATAATTAGGAATAAATATACATCTTATCTTTGGAGATTTCAAGGGAGTAGAGGGCGTAATAAAAATAAAGAAAAATTTTTATTCTTTTCTGGAATTTCCACTTTTCTTGCCGATGGGTGCGCTAATTTGCCAAAAATAAAATTTTATTTTTATTCGAAATCATCAATATTGCATTTTAAAGAAATATATTCTGATGGTAAAACTTGTTAAAACCCTCAAACATTTTAACACTGAATTCCCCTTTTAGAAAGCTCAAACAATTATCAACTTCTAATAATAATTAATTACGTCTGTCTGCTTTACAAAAAATGTCATAGTACAAAGATAGATCAATTGATTGACTACCAGCCAATATATATATTGTATCTTTAGGCACAAGGGATAATAAATAATGCCGATAGCAAATACATCACTGTCTTTAGTGTCTACTTTACAGTATATAAATGTTTTATTAATGTGTCTATCTAATGGTAGGGAAGTTAAATAATCCATGTCAGCATAGTATAATCAAGGTTTTGTATTTGAAACATTAAATCAGGTGGGCCTCATTAATTTTCCTTGCATTGTGAATGTAATATGCTGGTGGCCCTTAAAGTAGAGTAGCTAATGCCAAGTTGTGAATTTATCACAAAAGCACGAAACTTGGCACAAAATATCTTTGATACATGTAGATTTTTTAGGAGAGATATTTTTTAATACTTTGTTTAGCGAACCCACTGAATAAAAATAAAATTTTATTTTTGGGCAATTAGTGCACCCACTGCAATGGAAAAAATTGAAATTAAAACAAAAATATAATATTTTTTTATATTTATTATGCCTGCTACTGCTTTGAAATTACCAAAAATAAAATATGTACATTTCTTCTTAATTATATAAATTTTAAGCATTTAACCATCCCATTAATACACTGTTTACATTCAACAATAAAATTTATTTTTATTTTCTCCTCCATCTGGGTGTTTTTATCAAAAATATTTGCTAGATCTATAAGAAAACGCAATTTTATATATTTTTTTTTTTCCGCCCTCCTCTGACAAGTCTCGACTTAAAATAGTGTGTCAAGTTTCTGACGCCTCCTATAGCCTCCATTTTGAATCAAAATGGCTGCCTTCTAAAAGCCTAGATTCATAAATCTTGGCAATGGAAAATCATAGACTTATTTTTGGTCTCAAACTTTTCAAAATATACATATTTGTATTTGCTCTCAATTAGAAAAAAAGTATTTTTAAAAACCTGACTTCCTAAGATAAATAATAATAAAAAAATAAACAACCATACTGTTTATGTATCTAGTCTAAGGTAGTATAATACATACTCCAAGTATCGAAATGCACGAAATATTGAATCCCAACACGATGGCATGCATTTTGATACTTGGAGTATGTATTATACTATCTTATCTGAGGTTAATCAGTGGACCTTTCGGTATCTAGTCTAGGTTTTGTAACTGTTTTAAAGAATATGTATATGTTATGTATACAGTATTTTATTATTTTTTTTTTTTTAAATTATTATACCACATTCTAAGAGCAGGTTACTAAATAAAAGACAGCTGGCTATCATCTTAAAATATTAAATAAACACAATTTAAATTTTTAAAAAATCCATAAAACATCAATAAAATTTAATAATACAACAAAATAGGTAGCAGTGTTTACATTTATATAAAGTAAAATAATAAAATCATCCAAATAAAATTTGTTTATCTGCAAGTGCTGGCCACCTTCAGGTGAATATATGGTTCAATATGATAAAAAATATAATTAGACTGAATTTATGATCCTGAATACCTGCAACTTCATTTAATTCCAAGCTGTCGTCTTTTTCTTTTTCTTTCTTCCCGCCAAAGAAGCCACCAAACCACCCTGAATTTTTCTTCTCTTTTTCCTTCTTCTTTTTCTTTCTTTTATACTGTAACTCAGCCTGCTGTCTGCATAGGGTCAAGTTGAACACATCTAACTCATCTTCAAATGACTGTTGAGAAATTAGATGATTTGACTTAATATACTTATTCATTGTGTTCACAATACAAGTAGGTCTATTTCACCTTTCAATATAAAACAAACTCATCTGATTTTCATTTTTAATCAATATAACATTTTTTTATTTATGCGCATTGAATGCAAATTATTTACATAAAATTGACTGAACTGATTCTTTATTCAAAAGATTGCATGATTAACTTATTGATCATTTAATCAATCCATAAATAAATAAATCAATCAATTATATAATCAATCATTTTATCAAGCAAGTTCTTTATAGATGGAGATTATGAGTACTGTGTTTATTATTATTGTTATTATGTGACTGATTGAATGAGATATTTATTGACAATTTTACATAGATTAATCATTATTGATTGAGCACTAGAATGATTGATTGATTATTTAGTCGACTGATTGAACAATGGATTAATAAATTAAAACAGACCTCTAGTTGAGAAAGAAGCTCTTTCGAAGGTTTGCTTGTTGCAAGTTTTTTGCCGTAAGCTTCTTTGTAACCACGACATTGATCTCGATGTTTCTTAATGTGTTTCCATGACCACATTCTGTGTCTACGTCTCACATTCTCCTCCAATATGCTAGTCTGTGCATATTTCCACCTGCGAAAGAAATATCATGATGATCAGAAAATGTTTCCCACTTTTGATATGAGCCTGGTTCACGTCGAAGTTAAGCCACTATCTAAATCTTTAAATATGATACGATTTTCCATAGTTGCGTTCGATGCCAAGTTAGAGCCAGATAAACAGCCAGCCAGTTTCGAGGCCGTGACGTCACATGGTGGAAAGGCTTGTTTAATAACGTCTACTGTATTTTACAAACCTCTAGTACCAAGTGGTATTCGTAAAAAAAATTGACAAATTCGTAAACTACTGTAGATCAGGTGTCAGTTTCCACTACCTAGCCTAGCTAGGTAGTAAAGATGATGTATGTACAATGTTAACATACAAGAAAATTCTAAAAAATTGTATTCATATATTTTATTAAAAATAAGTTACAGAATATTTTATCTTACCACAACTTGGCATGGCCACGACAAACAGCTTTTGGGCGGTATTTCATGTAAGGCTCGTTACGAACCATTCTCTCAAAGGAATCCAAAAGTTGAATAAGGTTTTGATACTGCAAATGAAAAAAAATCGCAACCGTTAACATAATAATCATTTAAAAACCTTCTGTCATATAGGAATCTACAGTAGATAATAAACTTGAATAAATTTATTTTCTTCCAAAGTATTTTTTTCTTTATTGTTGGGCGAGTCTTGATGTTTTTATATACAGCATCCTTCACAATAAAGGAAAATCAACAAAAATTGATATATAATATGCATGTGTATAGATGTCCTTGTATTTCTAATTTTAAGTCTTCATCCAAAAAAATAATTAATTTAAATCCACTTCGTTTCTATAAAAATATATAAATGCATGGGACTGCTGAGTGTACCTAATTGCTCTTTGATAAGATTATAGACTTTCCCTTTAAGATGATAGACTGTCCCTTTAAGATAATATAATGTCCCTTTAAAATAGCAGACTTTCCATTTCAAATGATAGACTTTGCCATTAACATGACAGACTGTCCCTTTAAAATGACAGACTTTGCCATTAAGATGATAGCCTGTCCTTTTAAAATGAGACTTTCCATTTCAAATGATAGACTTTGCCATTAACATAATAGACTGTTCCTTTAAAATGATAGACTTTGCCATTAAGATGATAGCCTGCCCTTATAAAATGATACTTTCCCTTTAAGATGTAGACTGTCCCTTTAAAATGATAGACTTTCTCTTTAAGATGATGGACTATCTTATGATATTGTTAAATAGTGGTGATTTCAAAACATTGACTTAACATAATTTAATTTAGTAGATTTTAATGTTTTTTATTAGCAAGCAATGAATTTCTTTTTAGGAGATCAAATTAAGGGCCTGAAGCCAAGTCTGCTAAGTGCGAGTGTCTTGGAAAAATTGAAAATTGTGTCTGATACTTTTTATTAATAATTTTTTTTATATTGTATTATAAATACACAATTATCAAACATCAATTATTAATACAAAATAGTAAATAAAATTAACATCAATCTAACTTCAACTTATCTAATATGATTTTCAATGTACAATACCGAATGAGCAATTGAATGGTTAGTCTTAGGTTTAAAATATTATCTATGGGTTTTCAAGTACAGTTCATCCTCCAATTCGAGACCACTTTGGGACCTGAAAATTTGGGGTGGTCTCAGGGTTTGGTATCTGTCTAAAGGGTTAGCTTTGTGTTAAAATATTGACGATTGTTATTTGGGTCTTTGAAAAAGTGGTCTTGAATTACAGGGGTCTCAGAATTAGAGGGGTGTTGAATTGGAGGGTGCATTGTACTTGTGTGTGGTGTGTGTTGGAGAGGGCTCCAAAATTGCGGGTGATACATCTATTACATTCTTACCTGTTGTTGCCTCAGTGTTAAATCAATACTTTTAATTACAAGATTCAACCACGCTTTGGGAGTTGACAAGTCGTTTCCAGGTTTCGGGTTTATCTTTAGCTGGGCTTCAGATGATATGGGTTCAACCACTACAAGCATGGGGGTAGGAAAGAAAGAATTACGAATATTTAATCCACTGGATTAGCCATGTAGGTTTTGAGAAAACGGATTCCAAAATTCCAATATCAATAGTTTTAATATTAGGATCTATTTATTTTAAAATAATTTTAATATTTTGCAAAAATATTCTTCAATATATCTTCTTTCATCAACTACAACAAACTGAAATTGTTCAAAAGTGTTTTTTTTTTCTTTTTTTCTTTTTTTTTTATTGCTTTGAGCACAAAATTAGAAATTGCGACAAATGTAGGGTTTTGCCAGAGCTGGTAACATATTATGCTATATTACATTTCATCAAAGATACATTAAACAATAAAATATTACAATCACATTCACCTTGACATTGTGACTGTGAGGCACATCGACTACAAAGTATTTATTTTATTTTCCACTATCAATGGGTTTTCACACAATGCCACATACACAGGAGGCAAATTTTCAAAGAAAATACAGAAATATAAACCTTACTGAACAATGCACTATATAAACTATTCTTCTCAATTGAACATAAATGCATGTGATCTTACCATATTGGAAATCTGGGTCCATGTGTCCAGGCGATGCAATGGTTGATTTCAAACTCATCTGAAATCAAGCAAATCAATGTGTTTATTTGTCCTATTCTATTTTTAGAATAGCTTTCATTTACTGTTGCAGAGTAAATCTCTTAGTCTTCTTGCATTGTACCATGGAGGTATTTTGTACAGACCACCTACATAAGCAGGTATATAACATACTGCAGTGGCATATTGAGGAACATTGGTATGGGACTGATGGGGAGGTGAAATGAAAAAGCAAATGGGCCCTAGCTTGGGTATCAGGTGATATAAGGTTATTTTTACCCCTGTCCTTAAATAATTAAATTATATAATTATAATTAATAATAATTAAATTAGAATTAAATAATCAAGTTTTCAGCCATAGGGCACCTTTGGCAGAGCAAACTATTCTGGGAGGGAAGAAGGGAGGGGGGAACAACATATGCTTTTAAAGCAACACTGATGTAGTGTACTTATGATTGTCTACAACACAGGTAAACAATATACAGTGTCCTAATATGCTTCCAGATTGTACAGGTGTTTGCACTTTTAGAAAAAAAAAAGTTTAATAAATAATTCATTTTTAGAAAAAATAAAACATTCTTGTGTTCACTACGTTTTGGGAAAATCCAAAAAAAATGGGTAGGTTGGCAAGAAAAGGATTTTTTTTATGCCAATAATGTGTTAATGTCCAAAAAGAAGAAAAAATACACAAAAATACAACAAAGACCATTTTTAAATCTATACTGAAGAGCAAAACGATCGCATAACACTGTCGAATCGCCTACCATTGCAAGATAGGCCCATTCTAGCCTATTTAGCTCATTAAAAAAATATTTTTTGTTGCAGTCAAAAAAAAAAATTAAAATGCCGACCCTCAATTTCGAACATTTTGGGTAGGTCGGGCATGGCCAACACAATAATTTTTTTTTTTGGCCTAATGCATGCAAAATGCAATCACTCAATCATGATTTACACTCAGGGAAGCAGATTTAAAGTCCTATATTAATTATTAGATTAAGAAAAAAATTAATGAAAACATGTACTGTATTACACAAAGTAAAAGAAGTCATGAATTAAGGCCAAGTAAAAAAAAAAATAGTTTCTCGTCCTAATAATATTTTGAAAAAGGAAGAATGAGGGCACTTTTTTCTTCTTTTTTTTTAACACAAGACAGCTACTACTTTTTCACTTTTACCAAGTAGACACATTGAAAGCAAATAAAAGAAGCACTAAACATGATTCATACCATATGTATTCCCAACCACGAACGATCGACAGAGGAATTTTACTGATGTGAGTAGCCAGTTTGTCGTACGTTTTGTCAAATGAAGAAAAAAAAAAAAAATTGGCGAGGCAGAGAAAATGGATGCAAGCGGATGAGAAACTAGTGATTTTTTTAATTTGGCCTAATGTAGAAAACAAATGAGACGATGACGGATGGATGGATGGATGGCTACGACATTGATGCCAATGACAACGACTATGACAATGGTGATAATGACAGTTGGTGAAGATGACGGTGGTGGTGTGATTATGATGCTGATTTTGATGATTATGATGCTGATGGTGATGATTATGATGCTGATGTTGATAATGATGAGGAAGATGGTAAAGATGATGTATGTACAATGTTAACATACAACAAGAAAAGTTCTAAAACATTGTATTCATATATTTTATTAAAAAATACGTTACAGAATATTTTGTCTTACCACAACTTGGCATGGCCACGACAAACAGCTTTTGGGCGGTATTTCATGTAAGGCTCGTTACGAACCATTCTCTCAAAGGAATCCAAAAGTTGAATAAGATTTTGATACTGCAAATGAAAAAAAATCACAACTGTTAACATAATAATCATTTAAAAACCTTTTGTCATATAGGAATCTACAGTAGATAATAAAGTTGAATAAATTCATTTTGCCATTAACATGATAGACTGTCCCTTTAAAATGATAGACTCTGCCATTAAGATAATAGCCTGTCCTTTTAAAATGATACTTTCCCTTTAAGGTGATAGACTTTCCCTTAAAGATGATAGACTGTCCCTTTAAAATGATAGACTTTCCCTTTAAGATGATGGACTATCTTATGATATTGTTACATAGTGGTGATTTCAAAACATTGACATAATTTAAAACATAATTTAATTTAGTAGATTTTAATGTTTTTTATTAGCAAGCAATGAATTTCTTTTTAGGAGATCAAATTAAGGGACTGAAGCCAAGTCTGCTAAGTGCGATTGTCTTGGAAAAATTGAAGATTGTGTCTGATACTTTTTATTAATAATTTTTTTTATATTGTAATACAAAAAATTTCAGTACTTGGCTGTAATTTTATTTTACCTGAATAAATAAATAAATACACAAATATCAAACATGAATTATTAATACAAAATAGTAAATAAAATTAACATCAATCTAACTTCAACTTATCTAATATGATTTTCAATGTACAATACTGAATGAGCAATTGAATGGTTAGTCTTAGGTTTAAAATATTATCTATGGGTTTTCAAGTACAGTTCATCCTCCAATTCGAGACCACTTTGGGACCTGAAAATTTGGGGTGGTCTCGGGGTTTGGTATCTGTCTAAAGGGTTAGCTTTGTGTTAAAATATTGACGATTGTTATTTGGGTCTTTGAAAAAGTGGTCTTGAATTACAGGGGTCTCAGAATTAGAGGGGTGTTGAATTGGAGGGTGCATTGTACTTGTGTGTGGTGTGTGTTGGAGAGGGCTCCAAAATTGCGGGTGATACATCTATTACATTCTTACCTGTTGTTGCCTCAGTGTTAAATCAATACTTTTAATTACAAGATTCAACCACGCTTTGGGAGTTGACAAGTCGTTTCCAGGTTTTGGGTTTATCTTTAGCTGAGCTTCAGATGATATGGGTTCAACCACTACAAACATGGGGGTAGGAAAGAAAGAGTTATGAATATTTAATCCACTGGATATTAGCCATGTAGGTTTTGAGAAAACGTGAGAAAACAGATTCCAAAATTCCAATATCAATAGTTTTAATATTAGGATCTCTATATTTAAAATAATTTTAATATTTTGCAAAAATATTCTTCAATATATCTTCTTTCATCAACTACAACAAACTGAAATTGTTCAAAAGTGTTTTTTTTTTCTTTTTTTCTTTTTTTTTTATTGCTTTGAGCACAAAATTAGAAATTGCGACAAATGTAGGGTTTTGCCAGAGCTGGTAACATATTATGCTATATTACATTTCATCAAAGATACATTAAACAATAAAATATTACAATCACATTCACCTTGACATTGTGACTGTGAGGCACATCGACTACAAAGTATTTATTTTATTTTCCACTATCAATGGGTTTTCACACAATGCCACATACACAGGAGGCAAATTTTCAAAGAAAATACAGAAATATAAACCTTACTGAACAATGCACTATATTAACTATTCTTCTCAATTGAACATAAATGCATGTGATCTTACCATATTGGAAATCTGGGTCCATGTGTCCAGGCGATGCAATGGTTGATTTCAAACTCATCTGAAATCAAGCAAATCAATGTGTTTATTTGTCCTATTCTATTTTTAGTATAGCTTTCATTTACTGTTGCAGAGTAAATCTCTTAGTCTTCTTGCATTGTACCATGGAGGTATTTTGTACAGACCACCTACATAAGCAGGTATATAACATACTGCAGTGGCATATTGAGGAACATTGGTATGGGACTGATGGGGAGGTGAAATGAAAAAGCAAATGGGCCCTAGCTTGGGTATCAGGTGATATAAGGTTATTTTTACCCCTGTCCTTAAATAATTAAATTATATAATTATAATTAATAATAATTAAATTAGAATTAAATAATCAAGTTTTCAGCCATAGGGCACCTTTGGCAGAGCAAACTATTCTGGGAGGGAAGAAGGGAGGGGGGAACAACATATGCTTTCAAAGCAACACTGATGTAGTGTACTTATGATTGTCTACAAAACAGGTAAACAATATACAGTGTCCTAATATGCTTCCAGATTGTACAGGTGTTTGCACTTTTAGAAAAAAAAAAGTTTAATAAATAATTCATTTTTAATAAATAAATCATTTTTATCATCACTATATTCATTGATTATAATTCCAATTTATTTCTGATGGAGAATACATTTATTGGATCAATTTGAAATTTATTCAGACTCCTTTTAAAAAACCAGATTTTCTGCTAAACTTTAATCTATTTTTTTAAGAGATTACAATAAAAGTTTATTCATATTCGTATTAGTAAGAGTAATAGCAATTGCACCAAATATTATAGTAGTTATAGTATGTATTAGTCTTTTCTATTCGACATTTGATTAATAATCAGTGCATTTTCAGTTGGCAAAAGCTCATGTTACACGGCAACAGCTGCTATTTATATAACATTATTAGTTACCGAATTAGTCAACAAACCACTTGGGTATATAATCAAAACAAAGTGGTAGCTGGCCATGTTTACACACAGCATCATTGCGTCATTCAATGCAAGGTTGTCGTTCTCGTTGCAATACTCATTAACCATGCTATACCTGTACATTTGAACACAACTTAATACATTTGCTGGTGAAATTGAAAATATATTCTACTAAGTTTGGCCACTTGGATTTCAAATGGAGTGAAAGAAACAGATGGAAAATCATTTAACTTTCTATGAAGAAAAATACTTCACCTACCTATACACAGTGAGTGATTTTCTTGGAAAAGTTGTTTATACAATATAATTCCCAGTACCCTTGCAATCATAGCCAAACCCACATTACCGAAACATTTATATTGTCTGACAGAAGCACAGTACATGCCTCTAAAGTGATATTCGTATTATTATGGTCATGATAACATCACATCATGACCATATATAGGCATTTCATGACTATATATAGGAGCATATACAGAGTGGACATAGCACAGCAATCCCCTCAGACTTGCTAGTGTCATCTGTAGAATATACACGTTTCTGGGTGGTGGGTCTAGTCTAGCCTTTCAAATATCCTTATAATTTCACTTTTCTTAATGTAAATAAAAATCATATCAAATTGATCTTAATAATAAAATAATTTATGGCAAGATCAATGTAAGAAATCAGTGTTTCTGTTCATCATGAACTTTTCTCAAAATCAAGTAAATAAAATGTAAAATACTTTTTTTTTTAAGATAGGAATTTAAGGCAATCAAATGATTTAATGATCACTTTCATAGCATTTTATCAAAATGCAACATTCTTCTGTTATATTGGAGATGAATAATCCGATCAATAAGCCAATTCAAAGGTTCAACTGCTCTTGTCCATATCAAAGTCAATCAACATAAACAAACATAAACACAACGTAAGTTTAAGTCAATTGACATTGGATAGGGGCATGTGCACTTCAAACTACAAATTGGCTAATTGTAAGTTTAAATGTGGTTTTTGGTCATATAGATTATTTCCATCTTCTATCAATAAGTAAGAATAACATTTTTAAAAAATTTGAAAGCTGCAATATCAACCAGCTAGATACTGTATATCGAAATATACTTACCAAGCATTGTTCTTTTGACATTGAACTAAACAGGCGAGTGTTGCTGTTGAGATACAGGGCTAGACAATCTAACTTCACAAGCTAAATGGACAAAGAAAAAGCAATGAAATTTAACCAATCAATATTTGTTTCCAAGAATATAAATATAGCAATAATTACATGCGAGTCTGAACATGAAATGAGACGCATCATTGGTAAGATCATTTTGAGATAAAAAAACTGTATTTAGTCGAATAAAGGCCCGGGGGAATTAATGATGAGAAGGGTTTTTGAGGGGTGATTATTGTTTGAGGGGGCATGTATTTGAGGGAGGCATTTATTTTTTATGGTTTAAAATGGATATACATATATACTTAAATAAAAGCCCCTTAATTTAACCGTAAACATGGAACAACTGTACAACACATAAATTACGGTCAAAATGTGTTATTGAGTAAATCATGAAGACTTTTTGATCCCAACCAGGTTAGAAAAATGTAATTGTATTGGAGTATAACATTAGTAGAATGTGTTGAAAATGATGGTGCTTCCATTAAATTTGTTTCAGTCATTGGGAGTGTGGGGGGGGCTTATATATTTTTATCAAATAAATGCCTCTGGGCGGTAATTCAAGGGAGGCGTTTATTCCAAATGTGGCTCTAGAGCAGGGGTGGGCATAAAAATTGGTCGGAGGGCCAAAGTGAATTTCTGATTTAACACCGAGGGCCACACCCAAACTTTGATCTTTCAAGTGCGCTTCTAAAAACCTCCAAGCACTGCTTTTACACCACTTTATTCCCAGTTTTAATAATATTACTTTTTACATATGATTGGTATCAGGCCACAAAAAACAAGGTGTTTGCTAGCCAATGTTGCTTTGCAGGCCGCACCACATAGGGTTTTTAATTCATATTCGTGGGCCGCCAAAGTGCTCTAGAGTGTTTATTCGAGGGTGTAATCATTCAAAGCAGGACGTTAATTTGAATAAATATGGTAAGTCAAAGTCTAAATTTTTACGTATTTTAATACTTTGATACACATTGTTTATGATTTTTGGCTGATTTTGTTATGTAAAAGTGTTCTTTGTGCATATTATCTACTGCCAGTCTCTATTTGTACAGGTTAGTTATCTTTGAGACTGATTTCTCAAAACCCTATTTCCATCTAACCTTCAAATATTCACACTTCTGGATCTATTTATTGTGGGAAACGCAATCAAACACAAAATTAATGCTTATATCTATTCAAATATGATATTATCTCTCTAAATTTTTCCAACAATCTGACTCATTTTCTGGTGAAACCTCACATATGGCATAGTTATATGATGTATATAGAGTCACTCTCATTTAAGTGTATATATTTCAACTTTATGCAAACACTATAAAATGAATATGATAAGTGTAGCTCATGGATACAAACATCTACTAGACATCAAAGTCATTGAGACATCTTCAGATAAGGTCATACAATAATTTTCTACTTATGTATTTTTACTCTTTTTATCCATTACACTGTTACATTAGAGGGATATTCTCTGCTATAAAAAAAAATTCCGCGCCAAAAAAAATTCCGCGCCAAAAAAATACATTCCACTGGGTGGTCAGACAAAACCTCAAAAGCGAACCTAATCACTATTGCGTTAGCATGAGACACCAGCGCATTATAAATGTTCATTTATTATTATTATTAATATTTTTTTCTCCTTTTTTAAAGGAATGTACTATAATTTTCTCCTTTTTTAAAGGAATATACTATAATTTTAGATGTTATGTCCTTTCTTGTTGCAAATTTTTATATAATATTTTTAATATTCTTGCATTTTTTAATATATTCTATTTTTGTAAATACGTTCATTTCAGCCTTTAGCTGCCGTTTGTATATATTCTTTTATACCTGAATAAATAAAAAAATAAATAAATCATTTGAATATTTGGCATTGGTTCTAAAAGTAACAATAGATTGGTAGTGTAAATAAACTACAGACAATAATAGATTAGTAGCATAAACAAACTTTGTCGGAAGTTATTGGATTCTAACTCCAACAGAAATAATACGCTTTTTCGCCCAAAATTGTTAAATATCTTTTGATGATTAATAATGACAATAACAACAGAATTAATAATAGTAACGTAAATTAATGTCCATATTATAGCTGCCTATACAAGTATTTCAAAGCCCTAATTTAAATAATGAGATAAAATAAAATAGAACTATAAAATTTAATGACACATTTTATTACTACATATAATGTCAGCTATGTACTGAATGAGTAATGTGAACTAGAAGGTAATTACGTTCAATTCACCACCCACACATTAAATTCCACTTTAAATTCTGACACTAATTATAAATAATATAACGAGATACATTAATCAGTGACATTATACAATTATAGAGAATGTAACTAAAATGTCATGAGACTTGAGTAGAATAATAAAACACCGTAAAAACTCGAATTGAAACCCAATGGGCTTAATCTCGAGAAGAATCCCATCTCGAATTGAAGCCCCCCCCCCTAATCAGTTTGCAAAAATAGCCTCGTAAAGAAGCCCATCTCCAAAAGAAGTCAAAGTTTGTGGCTTCTTTTCAAGATACTTTAGCGTAAGCTTTTTTTCAAGATACAGTAGTGCAGTACATACACTGTACATGAATTTTAAAGAAACAAAATAAATTTAAAACATGCTTGGTTTATACAGTAGTTTAGGCGATTTAATGCCAGTTAATACATCCCACGATACCAACTGATGTTACAGTGGCCCTATTTATTGTTTCATAGTAGTAATATAAAAATTTACAGCATTCATTTTGAAAATAAGCCCCTCCACCCCCTCTCCCGCCTCTTTACTTTGCAAATGTAGCATCGAAAAAAAGAAGCCCATCTTGAAAAGAAGCCCACCCAAAATTAGCAAAGAAACGGAAGAAGCCAAGGGCTTCAATTCAGGGTTTTACTGTCATATATAAGTTATATATGCAGTGGGGAAACAAAGCGGTCTAAGACCTCTTGCTAATGCTTCTTCGGATCCTATTTACACCTTGTGGAAAAGAGCCACACACTTCAGCACATTTGTCATTTTAAAAAGGTATCTTAATGGGTTTTTTTTGCATGTTTTAGTGCTCATTAAAGAAGCCCTCCACAACCAATATTTGGGGTAAAAATGCTGATATAAATCCCCAGGGCCATTATGGCCTGGGAAGTCTGGCTTTAACAAGTGAGAACTCACAGCTGTTACACCATTGTATACAGTTAAATCCATATAAAGTTTGTAATCTACTATTAAAAGAAAAAAATAAATATAAAATAAGTTTGTTTAAGTTTTGAAAATAATTCGTTTTTTTTTAAATGTGTCATTGCATTGCCCAAGTGACATGTCTAGATATCTACTAAAATATGAATACAGTATTAATAAGTCAGATTCTCGGCTTATCAGAAACCAGATAGAAAGGAAAAGGGCGCATACATTTACACCATGTAATTGCCATGTAATTGACAGATTTATGATAGTCTACAGGCATTCAGGTGAGAATGCAGCTTATAACCAGACAACTAAATGTAATAATTTAGTAATAACAGCATTTATACTAACAAAATACAAAAGAAATTTGAAAATTATCAAAGATATCTCTAGCACCAAATGATATCTGTGCACTACAAAGAGTGGTTGTCTGTAGCAAATTTTTTTTTTTTTTTAACCTAAAAATGCTTCTGGGGAGATGTACAATTCTTCTAGCCACAGTTGTGCCATCATGAGTTGAGTTAAATGCGAATATCATTTATCCTCATCATCATCATCATCATCATCATCATCATCATCATCATCATCATCATCATCATCATCATCATCATCATCACAACCAACACTTTATGAAGTGCCCTGTTGTTAATTATGGTAGTTATTAGTTGGCAATACTATCATTGCAAATAATTGATATATAATAGAAATAATTAGCCCAACTAGGAATATAAACCTCCTTTAAATATTTCGCATTTTGCACATCACGATTTTATCTCATTTTCTAAAATTATAAATAAAAAATAAATATATAAATGAATATAAGAATAAATATATTAATAATAGAGGATAGGTTAATCTAAAGCAAACATGGTTAATAATAATAATGTATAATATTTTTATTATAATATTATATGTTATAATACATAACAGAAAGCAGAGATGAACCAGCTCTTCGAAAGTGCAATCACATTTTAAAATGTCATTTTAATACTCAATGGCACTAAAAGCATTATGTGTAATTTCTTTACCTTATAGACCATCTTCACTGCCTGTTCTAATATGCAAGGTTGCCAATCTGCATTAGTGGTCTAGGAAAAAAAAGCAAAGTACTCATTAGAAGACGCCACAAGCAAGCGGAGGTTGCTGTCAACTATGGCACATTTGATCTGACTTTATAACACAACATGCCAAGCTAATTATAAGGTTGACAAATAAATATCATATCTTCTAGACGCTTTTGTAAATGATATTATGTGGTTAAGTGTAACTTGTTTAAATCATTTGTACTACTACTATGTACTATAGCACTTTATGGTGTAACCTTACTGTTAAAATGATAAAATCTCTTGTGGTTTGCTTTTATATCTCATTGAAAATGCTAGCCTAGATACTGTAGCGCTGGTCTCATGTTTACAGCTCAGAGATATCCGTCATTTTTTTAATAATACATCCGGAAAAGTGTACATAGTTTTATGCTTAGGGTGAAAATATGCCAAAATGATCCTGTGTTGGGTGTAATGTTGAGCATACGCTACAAGAGTCAAACATGTTTGTCATGTGGCAATGGTTACTTAAGTAAATATTGTGATGTGTGATAATAATAATGATGATGGTAATCAATATGATGATGGTAAGTTGTTAATGATAATGATAACGATGACAATGTTAATAATAATAATCATATTTATCATAATGGTGATTCAATGATGGTTGAAACTATGTTGATAATGACTGGGTAGTGATGACGACACTAAAGTTTATAGAATCAATTATATTCATGATCAACGGTGATAATGTTACTTAAATTGAATCTAAAAATCATGATCAACATAAATACCTCAAAAGACAGATTGTGAAGGGAAACGCCAGCCGAGAAGGGCGCTTGGGAGTTGGTAACATTGTCTTCGTATCGGATATGGATATTCTGGATCTCTACTTGGAGGTTCTTGATAATCTGAGTTGCGAGTTTTTCAGCGAAGGTGTCGGACTTGTTATCGGATTCCTGCGTCTTCTCCTGTTCTTTTGCTTGTTCAACTTTCTCCAAAGCCTTCTGCTTCGCCTCATGTTGGTTCTTCTTCGACTTTTCTGCATCGTAACTCCCTATAATATGAATTATTAATTCAAAGTTATAGTATTTATGAGTTGATAGACTGGTTGTTGAATGTTTAATACTAATTATGATAATATAATTATACCCTGTGAACATACATTGGAATTATAACATCATAATATACTCATGTATGATTTTTAACTTTGTAATTGCTATGTGGAGTTAAATAGATAGTGGTTAAGGTGCTGTGCTTCTCATCCCAGAGTCCTGGGTTCAATACCTATGACAGCAGGACTTTTCTGACTAAAATCAACTCTACTCACTATGCCTCATAAAGGGACTTCCTTTACGAAGCATCGTCCATTCTGTATAATTGGCGAGATTGGATTCGAATGAAATAATGAAAATAATAAAAAATAATAATAATAATAAATACATATTACATTTAAACGTGAATAGGTTTCCATTTTTGTGTTGGGCCACCAGTCTATGATTTCCTCTTCTATAGTGAAATAAAAACTAATTCAGAAAATACTTTCAGCAATTCACAAAAGTAATATTTGTCATGGTGTTTTTAAAATACCAATTCTTTATTTCAAATTTATTTCTCATTTGCCATTGCTTTAGCATATTAGCCATTTGCATAAAGTAATATTTGACAAGGTGCTTATACCAATTCTTTATTTCAAATTTATTTCTCATTTGCCATTGCTTAGCATATTAGCCATTTGCATAAAGTAATATTTGACAAGGTGCTTATACCAATACTTTATTTCAAATTTATTTCTCATTTGCCATTGCTTAGCATATTAGCCATTTGCATAAAGTAATATTTGAAAAGGTGCTTATACCAATACTTTATTTCAAATTTATTTCTCATTTGCCATTGCTTTAGCATATTAGCCATTTGCATAAAGTAATATTTGACAAGGTGCTTATACCAATTCTTTATTTCAAATTTATTTCTCATTTGCCATTGCTTAGCATATTAGCCATTTGCATAAAGTAATATTTGACAAGGTGCTTATACCAAT